AGTAGAGTAATTGATTAGCAATTCATGTCTGAATGTCAATGTAGAGTGCTCAGTTCAAAATGAATCAATATATTTTCTTACAAGAGTAGAGAAACAAAAAAATCAAATGGCAGTACAGTATCTTTAATGCAATAAGAATATTTAATTATAAGGATAACAATAATGCAGTCAACCACAAGTACATTTGTTAGGACTGAAATATCTCTGTGAAGGGTTTACCGTAGCTTAAATATTTTTATTCTCCTTCCCGAAAACTCTACGTGGCCTTGTGCTTTCTTCTGCTCCCATGTTGTCCTTATTTCCTCAAGGCCAATGAGTCAGACTCTTTTTAACCTTTCTGAATGTACATTTGGGAACATGTTTTCTTAGTTAATACCGCTAGAATAGAGCTGAAACAGCTGCGACTTTTTGGGACTTTCTTTCTATGTAATCATTTAAAAGAAAAAGAAAAAAAAAATTGTCTAGAGCAGTAGTTCCCAAACCAGTCCTCATGTCCCAAGATTTATGTATTTCCCTGTTTTATTCCAATGGAGATACTAACAAAACTTGGACTGTTGGTGGGTCTTGAGGACTGGTTTGGGAAACGCTGGTCTAAAGCAAGGGCATAGCTTTATGATCCGGGAAGGGGATTTATAGAAACAGCAGCACACGATTTAGAAAAAGATAGACTGTTTCTTACAATGAATTGGGGGTAAGGTGGTAATAATATGCATTAGCAGCTAAAACACTAGTGGTAAATTGGTAATATCTAAAAAAAAAAAAAAAAACCCTGACATATTAGCATTCAGAATTTGCATTTTTTAAAAAGTTACTTTTAAGGACTGAATAACATAATTGCATGGTATGTAATCAAGGTGGTACTCGCATGCTGCCTTATCTTGGTAAAGGAAAATAAAAATAAATAAAAAAAATTACTCTAAAAAAAAAGACAATGATTACATTTTGAATTACAAGTAGTTAAAAGTAGACATTTTCAAAGGTTGAGGATAATCTGTAATTCTTTTTCTTCAATGTGATTAATCAAAGTCAACTGCACTTCCAGTATTGACCAAAAGGGGTCATGAGAGCATTAAAATGTAGATCACCCACACCTGATCTGATTATATGTCCATGAAACATTGTTCAGAAATGAAATCAAGTAGAATGAATGAGTATTATAGCTTGCACTAATCAATGAGCACGCAAGTAAGAATGGAATGCTGTTATCAGACAATCAATAATGACCAGGTTTTGAAACTCTACGTATTATGTCATCCAACCAGGAATTGTAGTGATATTTAGTTTATAAAGCACATCTTTAAAGACAATATTATGCAATATATTAGTGAATCAGATAACAATATAGAGAAATAAGCTATTTGCGCATGGTTGTCCAAGTCAGGGTCCACAGATTTAACCCCTTAAGGGCCAATAATGGAATAATTACATCATAACAAACCATCCTATAGAGCAGTGGTTTCTAAACCGGGTCTTTAAGGCACGCCTACCAGTCCAGGATTTAGGGATTACCTAGTTGTGCCAAGGTATTTTTTTTTATTTAGCTTTCTAAAAACACCTTAGACACAACTAAGTAATCCCTAAATCCTGGACTGGTAGGCGTGCCTTAAGGACTCGTTTGGAAACCACTGCTGTAAAGGAGCCAATATAAAATGAAATGTGCCACTTACTAAATGCAGATAATAACAGAGAACTGAGCAGCAAGTCTGCAGGGGCATGATCTATGCACCAAAACAGCTTCATTAAGCTAAAGTAGTTCTGGTGCCTTTAGTGTCCCTTTAACCCCTTAAGGACCAAGCTTTTGGAATAAAATGCAATTATGACATGTCACACATGTCATGTGTCCTTAAGGGGTTAATGTTAAAAGGAAGAGTCTTCTCTTTATCAAGTTCCTCTTGAAAGATACAGGTTTTAGGATATTACGGTTTGGATATTTTAGTCTGAACTTCACAATTCAGCATTAAATTCACTACAGTTTGGTATTTAATAAAATAAAAAAAATTGTGTAGTTAATTTTGTGTAACTATTGCATCACCTGATGTTAAAGTATATAAATATAAATCAGATACGACATTAAAACCACCTGCCTAATATTGTGTTGCTTCCACTTGTGCTGCATAAACAGCTCTGTTGCACTTTGTGGATAAACTACTATATCATGAACCCCTAACTAAAACACAACATACATGGATACAATTTCTAATTAGTGGGGTAATAGCTGTTTCATCCAAGGAGACATCTGACTGTTATTTTCGAGCCAAGAAGGATTTTTTTCCTAGTTTGTTGCAAAATTGGAAGCGCTTCAGACTAGGTTTTTTGCCTTCTTTTGGATGAACAGCAAAAACATATGTGAGGAAGGCTGAACTTGATGGACCCAAGTCTCTTTTCAGCTATGTAACTATGTACCTAGCAGGTGTGTATGGGATAAGAATATACATCATAGATCAGAATGAAACTCTCATGCTTTGTGTATTTGTAGAACCATTTAAAGGCAAATACATCGATCAGCCATAACATTAAAACCACCAAGTGAAGTGAATAACATTGCTTATATTGTTACAATGGCACCTGTCAAGGGGTGGAATATATAAGGCAGCAAGTGAACAGTCAGTTCTTGGATTTTATGTGTTGGAAGCAAGAAAAATGGACAAGCGAAAAGATCTGTGTGACTTTGACAAGGGCCAAATAGTGATGGCTAGATGACTGGGTCAGAGCATCTCCAAAATGGCAAGTCTTGTTGGGAGTGCGCAGTATCAAGTGATTCGTTCCTACCAAATATGGTGCAAGAAAGGACAATCGATGAACAGGCTTCAGGATCATGGGTACCCAAGACTCATTGGTGCATGTGGGGAACAAAGGCTAGTCTGTCTGGTCCGATCACACAGAAGAGCTACTGTAGCTCAAATTGCTGAAAAACATAATGCGGACCATGATAGAAAGATGTCAAAACACACAGTGCATCACAGTTCGCTGCGTATGGGACTATATAGCTGCAGGCAGGTCAAAGTGCCCATGATGGCCTGAGTCCATCACCAAAAACGCCTTAATGGGGAATGATCTGCTGCTAATGTTTAGTGCCAGATACCACAAGACACATTCAGAGGTCCTGTGGAGTCCATTACTCAATACATCAGAGCTGTTTTGGCAGCACAAGTGGGACCTAGTTGATATTAGGTAAGTGGTTTTAATGTTGTGGCTGGTCAGTGTATCAGGTGCAATACTTAGATTTGTATGCTCAATACACTCATATTAGATTTGTGTACAAAAAAAAGATAGCTATTTGCTACACTGAATAGAACTAGTATCCAATCTGCTTATTAAAAAATGTCAAATGTAAATATTCACCAAATGTAAGCAGAAAGCAAAATGCTATATCCATTTCTACTGAACTCTGATCACTGCAGACCAAACTTCTGGAATAAAAGGGAATCATGACATGTCACACATGTCATGTGTCCTTAAGGGGTTAAACAAGTATTAATAGAATATCCTAGTGCAGTGGTTCCCAAACTAGTCCTCAAGGAACCCCAACCAGGCCAGGATTTAGGGATTACTCTGTTGTGTCCAAGGCGTTTTTTTTCTTTTTTTCTAAAAACACCTTAGATACAACTGGGTAATCCCTAAATCCTAGACTGGTAGGGGTTCCATGAGGACTGGGCTGGGAACCACTGTCCTAGTGTGACATAGAAGTACTAAAATAACATTATAAATGCTTAAAACATGATTAGCTGCTTCAATGTGCCGGCTACCTTCTGCCCTTAAAAGTGCACCTCATTCAAGATTTTGCCAATAATACAGCAGCAATGAAGAGTATGAACATTACACTCACTGTTGATAGTATAGTTCATTTGTCAAGCAACAGACTAAAAATAAACATTGTTATCAATGGCTCCATTCTAAAGGAAAATTCTTGGTCCACATCCACATAAAAATCTTTTGAAAAATGAAAGGTAAAAAAAAGGTACATTACCTGTCCTACAATTGGTCAGGCTTAAAGGGTAACTACAACTTAAAATTCCTTACTGCATTATCTGCCCTCCACCCCCACCCTTCGGAAAGTAAACAAGAAAAAGAACTAAAGCAAAAACTCGCTTTAGATCTCATGCCGAACCCAAGTTCTCCCTGCAGCCTGATCACAATCCAATGACGTCAATCCCTCTCATGGCAGATTGATGTCCTGAAGGCCAGTTTCAAGGGAGAACATTAGGGGCATGCCATTATCGGTCATCTGTTGCAATCATGCTATGTGTGCTGGTGATAAGAGTCAAATATGCCAAGATTTTAGCAACTCTCGTACTGGGCTGGCTAATGACATTGAGGTACACCTGTGGCAGCAATGCTTTAACTCTTTATGAGCAGAGTTTAATTGAGAAACTCTGCACATACAGACTCATTTCACCAACAACACTTCAAATCACTAAAATAACCATGGTGCTTTGAGTAACCCTTTAATTACATACCTATCAAGAGGTGACTAGACACAGTACCATGCAAACAAAGGCAAAATACTAGCCTAAGTTAGGGTTCCAAATGAACTCAAAAATGATAACCGGGGTGAGGAGCACAGAGTAGGGATGTGCATGGGACAAAAATTCAGTTTGGTTTGAAAATTCGGGTAAGTAAAAAAATGTCTCTGCTTCTGCAATTTGGACCAATGGCATTTGGTTCGGTTCGGCACTTTGGAACTGCCGAACGTCATCACATCGGAACTTTGGCGCTTTGGAACTTCCAAATGGCATGAAATTGTACGAATGTACATTCGGAACAAAATGAATTGCACATGTCTACTTTATATATCCTATATAATAATTGGCTAAGGATGTTTGTCCGATGCAGTCATGTGCAGTAGAGACTGTGCAAGACTGCATGGGACAAACATCCCATGCCAGGCGGCGAGGGAGCAAAGTACTTACTGTGCTCTTGCACGTCCTTCAGGGTCCGCTGGCAGCAGTGATGTGACGTGTACAGTATATGAGGCCATTGCACAAAAGGAATTAGCTTACTGGTCAAGATTTCTGTCATCATTCACGTAATTTCCCCTCCCTGTCTCTCGTTTTGCCACATCTGATTAACTTTGGCACTTCCGAACTTCGAACATTCTGCACATTTTAGAGTGGCCTTTTATTGTGGCCAGCCTAGGCACACCTTTGCAATAATCACGCTGTCTATTCAGCATCTTGATATACATCACCTGTAAGGTGGATTAATTATCTCAGCAAAGGATAAGTGCTCACTAACACAGATTTAGACAGATTTGTGAACAATATTTGAGAGAAATAGGCCTTTTGTGTACATAGAAAAAGGCTTAGATCTTTGAGTTCAGCTCATAAAAAATGGGGGCAGAAACAAAAGTGTTGCGTTTATAATTGTGTTCAGTGTATATACATAATATATAAAATAAATATTTATATTATGTATATATGCAGTACACTGATTAGCCCATTTTCACTTATTTTAGTAAGTTAGTCTAATTAGTTTTCCAGAATCATTCTTCATTAACAAAATTAATCCCTGCCAAATCCCCATATGGCCAATATTCAACTGTCCAGATTTTTTTGATTTTTTTCGGCAGAGGTGATTTGTACATTAGTCTAATCCCTACTTTAATTATTTCTTTGATGCTATGAAAAATATAACAGTGTAATTGCAAGCCTTCGCTACTGCAAGAACTGTTAGCATCCTTTAGGTGAAGACATTAAACATTGTGTATTACTAAGGCAACTTTAGTCAAACACATATAATGCAATAATTTAGCGTATCTTCATATGAGCAAATAGGCAGAGGATTCTGAGTCCATTGACCTTTAAGTGGGTGTGCAAATCCATGATGTCAGTTCCAGAAATAATACAGGGATTATACTGACTAATTCAAGAAGACATAATTCTGGTATCTCATGAAATTAGTCAGGGGAAGGGTCTTAAGTGCAAGTTTTAATTTTCGACAATGGTCAGAGAGGCCAACAAGTATGCGGATAACAAATCACTTTACAACTAAATATAAGAGCTTCTTCAATCCGTATATAAAAAAAACAAAAACCATCTTTCCAAATGTGTCTGCTATTCCAGAGCTACTTAAAGATCATTCCTTTATAGCTTATCCATATTGTATTAGATTGCATGTTTTCTAAAACACTTAGCTCTCCTCTAGTCAACCTCTGATGTTATCTGTATCGAATAAATGATGACTCTGTTTCTTCATTATCTCGTGGGTATTACAGTATTACCTCTGCCAGGATTGTATTTTGCAATTTAATATGTAAAATATATTTTTTCCACTCAGTCCATTAAAGATGTAGTAAGCAATACATAGTTATAAAGATGCCAGTGAATATTCTGGATAATCCAAAGGAATGTCATGGCAACATAACATGTTCAATGTTAGAAGTATATATCATTTGTATAGATAAGCTCTTTAGGCTTTTAAACCTTTGCAGATAAAAGCCATGAGGGTGTGAAGAGGGTAAAGGAAGATAGAACGGAATTTAAAAGTAAAGAAACATGGGGGAGTAATAATGAGAAAACGGATTACTTGGTAACCATGATAGCACGCTCCCAGTGCCATTTGGACGTCTACAATTATTCTGAGTTTCTGAGTGAAGAGTATGCTAAATTTAGGCTCAAATCTCATGTGTAGAGGTATTTTAAGATAATACCAAAACTTCTTCAGTGTAGAGATGTGGTATACTCAGAAATAAAGGGAGAGATACGTTGTAGTGAGGATAACACACTATATTTTGTCAGTTGTAGTGAGGATAACACACTATATTTTGTCACATCTCTACACTGAAGAAGTTTTGGTATTATCTTAAAATACCTCTATTATCTTAAAATCCCCATACTTTTCATATATAGTGCTTAGTTATGTCTCCTCTTATTTTGCCTTGTATCTCTTGTCTTGTTTTATTTTGTCTTCTATTCCCAGTTCATGTACAGTCCTGTCCTGCCCTGTTCTTGTTTTCCTCATGACTTGTATACATGTTCTAGGTTCTGCTTTCTGTGCTGCTCCGGTTCTGGGTTCTCCTAGTTTTGTCTTGTTTTCATGTATGGTGCCTATCTCTCTCTAGTCTTGCCTTGTTTCTGTACTGGATACATGTCTGCTGCAGAGCCCCCCTATCCAGTTCCTGGGAGGTCTGCATATCAAGCTCCTGGTTCCTGGGATCCGCATAAGCTGAATCAGGGCTCTGGTATGTTGCTGCGCAAATGCTGGTGCTCAACACCAGGGGGCGTGCGGTTACCCTGCACCAGACTCTGCTAATCCTCCTCCACACTGTGACTCCTACTCTGAACATCAGGCATACTAGGTCCCGGTCCTCGCACCGCCGCCCGGACAGTGTCTGGGTCCCGGGCACCGGACCGCCACCCTGACACAGACTTCCCGATGCAGCTCAATGTGAGCTCTTTGTAAGGCCGATGCTCTGGAAAATTGTTTCCTCTTGAGTTTAGCTCCACTGAGTTAACCAAAACAGGAAGTAACAAGACCGGTTGTCTACTTGGAACAAGGGAAATTTATAAAAGTGACAATTTGTATTGACATCTGCACTTTTTTTTTATCATTTTGAATTCACTTTGAAGTTTCACTTTTTTTTATCATTTTGAATTCACTTTGAAGTTTCACCTTAATGAGTAACCCTGTAAATGTGTAATATCCAATTCTGTATCTGTGCTAATCAAAGAAATGTGGACACACTCAGTTTATAAAAAAGAAAATAATTAAAATGAAGGTGATTGCCTACATAGGTTATATTTCTTAAAATACTGTTATGTAGCTAAATACAGAGGGGACAGTTTTCCTTGTTTATACAATTATCACCTTGCCTAAAAAGTGGATTCTTGTGGATTGTATAAATATACAACACTGTCCATTAATCTAAATTGTCTAATGATATGAGGACTATTACATGAAATTGATAAACATTTTTAAATGAAGGCAAGTTACAACTTCTATAATCTTTTGATGGGTTGACATAATGCCCTGTTATATAAAACCCAGCGTCAGTCATGATGAGCAGTCTGGGGCCACAATCTATAGAAGATCAATTTTCTTTAATCTAAAGATGCAATGAGGATAATGCTCTATAATATAACAGACACAGAATACTGGGATATGGCATATTTTCCTAGCATCTGATTTTAATAGATTGCAAGTTTGTGAATGGGAAATTGGATTGAAGCAGATGCAGAGCCTTCATGCCCACTGGGGCTTCAATCTGGTTATATCTACGCCACATTTGACCCCATTGTGTAGGCTCCGAAAGCCACTGGCCTGTACTATGTGTAATTATTACTTTTTTCACACCTGCATGCAGAATGGCATCCTATATAATGTAATGCTCAATACCTCCTCTGCAAAGGATACATTAACATTAAATAAAATGAATCTACAGTCGTTCTACATAATTTTATTTTCTTCAGGTAATAATCCATAGATTCATTTGTTTCAATTCAAACTTACTCATTCGTGAAAGAGTTAAGAAACAAAACAAAAACTTTATAATTTAGAATTCAACAAAGACAGAGTACTTCTTTAAGCGGTTAGTAAAAGCAATATGCAATTGTAAGTAGCCAAAATTCATCATAGCCGCAGGCGCATAATTGCTCGGTTTTGTGTTGCTATGCTACAATTAAGCCAAAGTTGTACCGAAGGCATGGGTATTCACAAATTATATTGTTTAGTGGAATTCAGCCAATATATTTCTTTCGAGTGCAGGAATGCCATGCTGTGATATTAAGAGCTGGCTCAATGTCACCCATAAGTATGCCCTTGTGCACACTGCTTAGGCTATAACTCCAACAGAATTTCAATCCCTGTCTAATAAGGCATCTTAAAGCAAATAGCTCATATTTCTTTTGGACTATTGTTCTCTGTGTGCAGAGTAGAAAACACACACATGAGATTTAAATAGGGGTAAACCTTTAGTTTCAAGTTGATGAACGTACTGTATTTTAGGATCACGTATGGTAACTGCAAGAAATATGACAATGGCTTTGTGTACATAACAATAAAACATTGTATAATTAAAACATAAAGTTTGCCATTATAGAAGTAGATGGAAACCTGTAATGCTGCAAAAAACTTTGCTATCGTTCAGTATGCTGCAAATGACCAGACTTAAATGGACACTCCAAGCACCATAACAACTTGTATTCATCGTGTGGGTTATGGTGTAAGGGTGACCCAGGTCCCAGGGACGCAGATATTAATTACGGCATTGATTTGCAAAAGGAGGAATCTATACTTTGTCTTTCACTGACACTCCTATCCACATTTTGCACATGCAAATTATTCATCTCCCTTCTTCCCATCCTCAGACAAAGTGTAAGACACTGCTGTATGCAACTCAAATGAGCATTACTCATAGCACTGTCCATGAAACTGAACAGGAATGTCTTCAACTAATAGTATCTGCTGTATGGCTGCTATCACCCTGTTTTGTCCTGTGTGATGAATGGAACTGCTGTCAGAGGCCATACTACATATAGCATTAACCTCAGCAAGACAGGGTTTTCTTTGGTAAGAATAGGTAACAGATCAAAATGAAAGGCTCTTGATTGGTGCAGTGTATTCTTAGTCTGTGAAGGTGGATGTCAGATTCGGCTTGTGTATGCAGCAGTTTAATGAATTTTAAAGTTGAGTATTTTTATTAATTTAGTTACATATTATTAGTGCATTATCTTTCTTCCATTAAACAAACAGCGGTCAATTTGAGAGTGGAATATAAATATTATATAAAAAGTCACTCTCCTTATTTCCATAGCTAAGTTAATACTATATAACTTATTGTATTGCCCCATCATGCTGTCGCATTTGTTGAGAGATGCAATACATGCACGTGAGCACTTAGACATTCCTTCTATAGTGCTGTACACAACCTGGATTTGCATTACAGGAAATGTAGGGGTTAATTTACATTGTATGCTCTGTCTGTGCCATGGAAGCCAAACATACAATGTAAACTGAAAGATAAAAACCCTCTCAGAATTAAAAAAACAAGGCACAACACATCCCATAGCTAAATTTAAATTTAGCTATTGGTGTATTCAAGTATATCAGATGTGACAGTTCCACTTTAATTCAGACTTGTTATGATCAAGTTAAACACAAACTGATGGAATTATGACTCAGAATTCACATGGATCTCATGGTGGACATGTCTAGACTCTGGCTAATATTTAATAGTGTATAGGTAATGATGTGGATATTCTACAGGACACCATGGTATCTCTATTCGACACTTAAAGTTTCAAGTTTAGTGTATAAATCTCAAGCTGTCCTCCTCCTCCACTAATGGAACCTTTGGTTGTTATTTTTTGTGTGTGTATAATACAGGCTTTTACTGAGTAAGCCTGAGTTGAAGGTGTAGATGTTTAATTGAAGTATTTTCACTCAATATTGAGTGTTCTCCTCCACTAAAACTGTCACTAAGTACTTTTTTTATACGCAAAATATTTAATGCCTCTGCTCATTGCTGGTTAGCAGGAAGTCATAGTACAAATGCACTATACAGTTGTCACAGATAAAAACATTCTCTAACAATGGTTCTTCCATCAAATTAATAATAATGATTGTATGAACAGAAAGCTTAAGCGATGAGCATATCTCCCAACACTGGGTGCATGGAGTGAGGACGAGCAGGTGGGATAGCCTTTGTACAGCGCTATGGAATTAATAAAATAATAATAATAATAATAATAGCCAAAAGGGGGCATGTCATCCTGCCATGTGCTCTGGCCAGCCCAACACAGCATAGACCTTGTACGGAGTGCTTCTGAACCACTCTAGCCATGGTGTTAGTGCACTAAAGTTACTCAGCACAGTGCAGGCATTTCTAATGATGCAAAACTCAGCATTCATAAACATTAACAAATTCATCAGATGAGCTACATAAAAAAGATTTTATGCAAGCTATTACATTCCACCTAAATACTCTACTAATACTCAAGAATCTCCAACAACTATACATACCCAACTACAACACAAGTACATAGTCTTTTACTCTACATAAAAATCTGGATGCCTTGAAACATTTAAAAAGAAAATTAGTAGCACTAGCTTTAAATAAAATGAAATACAAAATATTTGATTACAACAACCTAACTAAAAAAGAAAGAAATGCTATTAAAGATCTTAAAAATTATGATAGCTTTGTAATCAAACCTGCAGATAAGGGAGGAGGGAGGAGGTCTGACAATCATGTCTAAAGAAATATACATGAACGAACTTTACCACCACTTAAATGATAACTCTGTTAACACCAAACTCATACATGACTACCATGGACATAAAGAAATTACTACTTTTCATAGAAAAAACAAAACATTTTAAACAATCTCAAATATTCATACATAAATGTTAACTCTCATCCATTCCAGTAATATATTTGTTACCCAAAATTCATAACATTTCCAATAAACCGCTGGGATGTCCAATTGTCTCTAAGATTCATTCAGTTTTATCCAATCTGTCTGAGTATGTAGATATTATCCTTCAACACTCCTTACATAAGGTCATACCTAAACGATAGTATGAGCCTTCTCCAAATTTTACAAAGTATTAAATAGGATACCAATTATATTTTAGTAGGTAGTGATGTACAATCACTATACACAATCATACCTCACAATAAAGGCTTAAAAAGAAAATGGAAACATTCCCACACTACAAATCAATTTTATTATAGAATGCGTACAAATGATTAGAACGATTACTTTTGGTTTTACGATTAATTGTATCTACAAAAATTAGGCACAGCCGTGGGGACCAGGTTGGCTCCCAGCTATGCCAATGTTTCTATGGCAGATAGATAGATTGAGCGGACACTGCTGGGTTGCGAACCTGGTCCACTACTGAAGGTACATTGACGATCTCTTTTTTTATTTTAAAAGTTTCCAAAACGAGTCTAAAACTATTTTTAAATGACACCATAGGAATAAATAAAAATTCTATCAATTTTCTAGGTCTTGAAATTCATATGAATGAAATTTTAAAAACTCACCTTTAAAAACCCTACAAGTTGCAACTATTCTCCATGGCTAAATAGTATACCCAAAAGCCAACGGGTAAGACAAAAAAAAAAAATTTGTACCGATATTAGCACATTTAAAGAACGAACTACCATTAAAAAAAAAAACTATAGAAAAAAATAAAATACAAATGACCTTGACACTTTAATTGAAGAAATCGGTTATTTAGATAGAGAAACACTCATAATATATAAAGAGAACACCAAACAAGATATAAATCTACCTGAAGTCCTAGATTACACTAATAAAAGTAATAAAATTTGAAAATTATTAATAAACGTTGGGAGATACTGGTTTACAAACACCTCGGTTAACATAATTTTCGGTTTACAAATGAAAATCCATTGAAAATAATGCCTCGGTTTACAATTTTTTTTTGCAGTACAAAGCAAGTTTCCCCAGGATGCATTGCACCTGGTAGGTTTATAGCACCGCCTCGTGCATGCTGGAGCCTGTGGGTAGCACGTGGCGTCGAGTGTGGAGGTGTTGGAGTGGCTTTTGCATCGAGTTTTGGAGCCATTCTGGAAATAGTTTTCAGTTGTTTTGGGACATTTAGGTGCATTTCTCAAGCTGTGGAAAGGTAGTGAGCTGAGCTTTGTCGTTTGCATGCCTTTTATTGTGGGTTAGTTTCCATGTCAGCTCATTTTGACTTTTTTCTGACCTCTAGAACAGATTAATTGGTTTTCAATGCATTCCTATGGGAAACCGCGTTTCGGCTTAAACATTTTTTGCAATAAGAAACGTCCCGGAGAACGCATTAAATTCGTAAACCAAAGTCCCACTGTATTGTATAGTTTTAGTGAATTTATTTTTTCTCACTTGATGTGGTTGATTTCATAATATGGTCACTAGTAAGAGATTTCTAATTTCAACATTTTTAAAAGTTATATAACTATATTACAAGTTCCTACATCCATGTCTCACAACTAACCCCATTGTGGTGGGAGACACCAAGCAATTGTCCACAGGTAGTGTAGCCAAGTGCATTATTAGTCACGCTTGCACTGCACCCATGGCACTTGGACCCTGGAAGGAGCACTGAAGCAATGCTCTCTGTATGTCCTGCCCTCAATGCACTGGCCTGATCGATCGGTAAACAACCTTGTGTAATTCAGACCTGCTCCCTTTCCAGAAAGGTTTGCACCTTTGCTCAGAGCCAGTGGCATTATTGGCCTGTCGCCTCTAGTTGCCACCTACCAACGTCTTACTTCTTAGGATGCCAATGTTGGGGGGAATTGCCTGACATAATCAGAATTGATGATCCCAGCCAATAAGAAAAGCATTATCGTCAATGAGGTGCATTAAATTAATTAATCTCTGTGGGGAAAGTTCAGAGTCTACATGAAGAGTGTGGAGACACTGAATGTCAGTGATGCACACTGTGCAGCACTGCCCCTGGAAGCACCTCCAGTGGCTATCTGAGGAGTGGCCACTGGCAGGGTCCCTAGGGAGCAATGTAAATACTGCCTTTTCTCCGAACAGGCTATAGACAACAAAACAAATGCAATAAGTTGTAGTTGTTCTGGTGACTCTACACCCTGTTCCAAATTATTATGCAAATTCTATTTAAGTGTCACAAAGATTAAATATTTTGTTTTTCAGTTTAACTCATGGATGGCATTGTGTCTCAGGGCTCTTTTGGTCACTGAAAACAATCTCGGACACCAGTGATAATTAGATTGCCAGGTGAGCCCAATTTAAGAAAAAAACTACTAAAGGAGAGGAGAGCACCATTTTCATGCAATATGGGGAAGAAAAAGCATCTCTCTGCTGCCAAAAACAGTGAAATAGTTCAATGCCTTGGACGAGGTATGAAAACATTAGATATTTCACGAAAACGTAAGCGTGATCATCGCACTATTAAGAGATTTGTGGCTGATTCAGAGCACAGACTGATTTGTGCAGATAAAGGCGCATTGAGGAAGATTTCTGCCAGATCCATGCATCAGATCAATACCATTACATAGCAGCAAACAGATATTTGAAGCTGCTGGTGCCTCTGGAGTCCAACGGACATCAAGGTGTAGAGTCCTCCAGAGTCTTGCAACTGTGCATAAACCTTCTATTTGGCCACCACTAAACAATGCTCACAAGCAGAAACGGCTGCATTTGGCAGAAAAATACATGAAGACTACTTTTCAAACAGTCCTGTTCACTGATGAGTGCCGTGCAACCCTGGATGGTCCAGATGGATGGAGTAGTGGATGGTTGGTGGACGGCCACCTTGTTCCAACAAGGCTGCGACTTCAGCAAGGCGGTGGTGGAGTCATGTTTTGGGCCGGAATTATGGAAAGAGAGCTGGTCGGCCCCTCTAGGGTCCCCGAAGGTGTAAAGATGACCTCTGCAAAGTATGTGGAGTTTCTGACTGACCACTTTCTTCCCTGGTACAGAAGGAAGAACTAAGCTTTCCGTAATAAAATCATCTTCATGCATGACAATGCACCATCTCATACTGCAAAGAATACCTCTGCATCAATGGCTGCTATGGGGATAAAAGGAGAGAAAGTCATGGTGTGGCCTCCATTGAGAACCTATTGAGAATCTTTGGAGCATCCTCAAGCAAAAGATCTATGAGGGTGGGAGGCAGTTTAAATCCAAACAGCAGCTCTGGGAGGCTATTCTGACATCTTGCAAACTAATTCAAGCAGAAACTGTCAAAAAACTCACAAGTTCAATGGATGCAAGACTTGTGAAGCTGCTATCAAATAAGGGGTCCTATGTTAAAATGTAACGTGACCTGTTAAAATGTTTAAAAAGTTAAAATGATGTTACATGTTTGACTAAAATAGCTTTTGATTTCCGTAAATATGCTGCAAACACAACAAATGACAATTTTCAGTTCTTTACAACCTATAAAGTGTTTTGAAACTTACTGTGCGTAATAATTTGGAAGAGTGCATTGTAAGTTTTTTATGTTTAAAATAAATACTGTTATCATTAGGAGGTTTGTTCAATAAAATTTGAATTGTACTCTTAATAGTTGATAAAATGAGAATTATGCTGACTGTTATTTACATCAATTATTTAGGTAAATGAGAAAAATATAATTTGCATAATAATTTGGAACAGGGTGTAGTGTCCCTTTAAATTACCTGCTAAATTATGAGATTCATCCTGCACTTATCATTAATACCACCTCCAATTTGTTCATCAAGCCTATAGCATTTACAAGAAGATATTTAAGGGTACCCATCATTGTTTTGTAGTTTATTAAAAACGATCAAATACCAATTACTTGCTTTACTAATTTCACCAGTTGCCCCATGTCTACCCCCCATAAGTTTCACACGTGTTTCACCTCCTCTCTATACAACCTACATAGCTTTTTTTTCTGTGTCGCTAGTTTAAAGCCATCTTCTCTCCAGACACAGCAAACAGTTGTCCAGTGAATTCAGGACATGGCCACTTTAATGTTTCTCTAGCTAGAACAGAGAGAGTTACAGCGTTAAAATCCAAATTATGCATTTCCAAAGTTGTCATTTGTAGCTACCTGCATCAGTAACATTTATTTAAACTATCTGTCTTGTGAAACCGTAGATGCAAAACAAAAGTTATTTCCAAAAACCGAGAAAAATATAGCGGCAAAAAGCAATTCTGGTGGACATAAGTATTTAAGTTAGCTTCCAGAATGCTCGAGATATGGGCTGCCTATTGAAGATGGCAGAGTTCCCTATATAAATGTATGACAACTTTAATCTTAAAAAGTTTTTATTCAGCAGTTTTGATTTTATGGACATTTAAATAATATATTTAAACATTTGTGACATTTTCATGCTAACAACCACATTGGCCAAATATAAGAGCATGGAAATAGCACGTGCGTAGATAATGCATGTAGAAAAGTCATATACAAAAAAGTAAATGTCTACTGGCCTTTGTGAAGACTGATCCTCATATTAGCTAAGACATTTGTGAGATTGAGAAATCATATCTTTAACACGTTGTAATATTGCTTGTTAATGAAATAAATGCAAATATATTCTTGAAGGTAATTGGCTCATGGTTGCCATCTTGGTTTTAATATTAACTTCCTTTAAGCTGCCATGATAGAGACCTAGCTGTGGACATACTCTCTAGTATGCTCATTTTCCCAACGAACAGTTTTTTAGAAAACATGACCGTGGACATGTGTGCCAAAATTTGCATGGTTCTAACAATTAGTATTAGGAAAGAAGATGTTAAAAGAATTTCGAGCAATCCAATATAACTGCTGAATCATGTGTCCAAACTTCTCTTCAAATCTGAATCTAAATCACACATCATAATTTAATAATTAACAAAAGTTACAGATCTGTAGTCCAGTAGAAGAATTTCTTTCTTTTAATATTGTGCAAAATTAGATGCAAACAAAAAATGACTGTAAAACCATGTGATATAGGTGGCTAAGCCCAAAAATTGATCACCAAACTCAAGATGACCAAGAGATGTACCTATAGCCTTGTTTTGGCAAAGGATATAGCGTACCATACGTCTCTACCATTACATGTAGTTTTAAGAGTTATGTATTAATGGTTTGGTTTTTAATAGGAATTTTAAAAAGTGGTTAATCATAAAACTACTAGCAAAAATTTGAACAAAAACAGTAGTTTGTCCTGTAACGCTGTTGCTTGGCCACCTAGAAATATGAGTCATGCCTAATTCACAGACATTTTATGAAAACAATATTACAATATAAAGGCATAGGAATTAAAATAAACATCTTATTTTGTTGACATGCTCAGATTTTGGAGCATTCTAATAAAATTTGTATTGACTTTTTGTGTTATACAATTTTGTTAATTTGATAAAGTTGATCTTTTAACTTTTCAGTTTGGACTTTAACATTATTAGAGGGATTTATTTTTTATTTGGAAGAGTTCCCATATATTTGCATATGATTGCAAGCATGACTTCATCCGCTCCAGCTCCTATTGAAAGTAGTCTTGAATCTCTGCAAAAAAAAATAAAAAAATTACAGTTTTAGATAAATGCATGATTTATAAAATCCAATTTGAGTGCTTGCTGTTAACATTTATTATTATTTATTTATTTGCCACAAAGTATCTTTTTTCTTGAATGTTCACTGCTAGGGACATTGTACATTTTTTTTCTATTCTCTTTGATCTATTACCAAAACCTTTACAGTCTATTCAGATAATATATTACCATGTCATAAACTATTAAACAGTGTTTATGCCTTCTGTAAGTGAAGGGAGCAATAAATAGGAGCAGATAAAAAAAAAAATGTGAGGTCTACAACACTCCCAACCAATAATCCTGAAAGAGTAGAACAATTAAGGGAACACTTCGGGCACCATAACAACTTCATCTCAATTAAAAAGTATGTACATTTATCAAGCCTTTTCTATGAATGTGGAGACACTGATTGGCTGGGAGAAAGACCTATATGAACAAAAAAAAAATCAAATATAGATTTTAAAAAAAGATTAGATTAAAAAAATAATGTTTTAAAAATGAGAAAATACAAAAAAAAAATCATGTTTTTTCTAGGACTCTATAGACTCACTGGCTATGGTGCTCTGTACAACACTGAGCCCGTTACGAGCTATTTAACATGCCTCCCAACTATACTGATTTTGTCAGGACAGTACTGATTTTTGGGTCCTGTTCTTCTACCCCAACGTTTGGACCGATCCCTATAAAGCTGGTCTTTACCCGTCTGACTTGTTTCCTTAATTACAACTCTCTCCTTGACCCTCTTTAGTCTGGCTTCTGCCCCCTCCACTCTACTGAGACTGCTCTTATTAAAGTCACTAACGACCTAATCACAGCTAAATCCAAAGGGCACTACTCCATATGAATTTTTCTTGACCTCTCTGCTGCCTTTGACACTGTTGACCATGTTCTCTTTCTCCGGTCTCTGTCACACTGTCCTCTCAATGTTTTCCTCCAATCTCTCCTAACGCTCATTCAGTTTCTCCTTTTCTAATGATACCTCATCCTGTCTCTGTACTTGGTCCCCTTCTATTTTCTCTTTATACTGCCTCTCTTGGCAAACTTATTACCTCATTTGGATTCCACCTGTACGCTGATGACACTCAGATATACCGCTCCCCTGCTGTCCTGCAACGTGTCACTGCTTGCCTTTCTTCCATCTTTGACCGGATGTCCTCCCGCTTTTTGAAACTCAATCTCTCTAAAACTGAACTCCTAGTCTTTCCTCCACCTAATACTAATCCTCCTTGTTCACTCTCCCTTCAAATGAGTGATACCCACATCAGTCCATCCTTGCAAGCGCGCTGTCTTGGTGTTATACTTGATTCTGGTCTCACATTTGAGCCTCACAACCAGTCTGTTACCAAATCCTGTAGATTTCACCTTAAAAACATAGACCGCATCTGCCCCTTTCTTACGCAAGATGCTACTAAGGATGCTACTATAGTAATCTCTTGCATGGATTATTCTAACTCTCTCCCAATAGGTTTTCCCACAAGTCGTTTTGCCCCGCTACAGTCTGTAATGTATGCTGCAGCTAGACTGATTTTCCTCTCCTGTCGCTCCTCTCACACCTCTGTCAATCCTTACACTGGCTTCATGTATCCTATAGGAGTCAATTCAAGGTACTAATCCACACCTATAAAGCACTGACCAATTCTAGCCCCTTCTATATTTCTTCACTGATCCATAGGTATGCTCCTTCTTGGACTCTCCCCTCTGCCCGTGACCTTCTCCATTCTGCTGCTCGTACCCGTATGGCCAACTCACGCTTGCAGGACTTCTCGCGGGTGGCTCCTTTCCTTTGGAATAGCCTGCCTACAACCATCAAGCTCTCCCCTAGTCTGCAATCATTTAAAAAGTGCCTCCTCCACCTTGCTTGATTGCTACCTCCTGTCCTGTTGGGTTTTATGCCCCACCTCTTTTAGACTGTAAGCTCGTTTGAGCAGGGCCTTCTTCAACCTATTGTTCCTGTAAGTTTTTGTAATTGTCTCAGTTATTGTTAAATCTCCCCCTTTGATAATATTGTAAAGCGCTACAGAATATGCTGGCGCTATATAAATACCCATAATAATAATAATAATAATAATAATAATAATGTGACAATCAGTCCCATACCCTATACCTGCCACAGTGAAACTATAGGCTTACACAGAGTGGCAAGCATTAATAACACATTTAAGAGATCATGAACACAGAGACGTGACACCAGCACACTCAGAGTTGTAATGTAATGTCTATTAGTGCTGTCAGCATTACTGAGTAATGCAGAAACCTCCCATGTCCCATGTCCTATCTGAGCTCTAGCCCAGATACATGCCATAAGTTCACTGTACTTTCAGGAAAAAGCTTTCCGATAAGGAATTGCCATTGAATTGGATTGTTGCCTTCCAGGTACAGAAAATAAGCCTTAAGTACAAGTAGATATGTACTGAGTTTTAGTGTTAAATATTAGGATTTACACCAATGCCCATGTGCTAATTCACACATTGCTTTAAATGGAACATTGAGAAATCCAAAAAAAAGAACAATTTTTAAATTAGCAATAACTAAAATAAATGCAGTTTTTATGCCTGCTTATTAATTTCTATTGCATTTACCAGAGCAAGCAAGCGAGACAAACGTAGTGGGAAGATGGAAAGTTTCTGGTTTAAAACTGTACAAAAGGTGAAACAGGACATTTCATTATTGGAAGAAAATAGTTTGAAATTTCCAGTCTTACTCCTACATTTGGCTGAAAACCAGGAAAGAGATGCTCCTATTATATAATAAAATTTAATTGTTATTGGCAAAAAGTCTGTAAAAGACAAGATTCTCACGCAGTGGAATAAAAATAAATTTTACCATGCATCATTTTCCTAATATGGGCCTTGATTTAATATTTTTGGATACGCTTTTCAAATGACGTACAGACTTTTTTTCTTTTTCAAAATATGAATCTATATATATATAAAAATATATCATATATAAAACTATCAATTTTAAAATATGTTTCTTAATATTAAATCATTTTAAAAGTGTATCTAAAAATATGAAATCATTTCAAAAGCTTATCCAACAATTGTAAATTGAGGCCATGATGGTCTGATATTGGCTGGTGATGGGAGACTTGGTTAAATGTAACTTATCAACAAAGTGACTGTGTTCATATTTATTATACTATTTTGTGGCTTTGATAAGTTTTATTGAGATGCTAAACATCACTAAATGAAGCATAAATAAAAAGTGAATATTTGATGATGGGAAACTGCAGTGTGACGATCCCATTACTGATGAGTAATTGGCTAAAGACCTACCAATATCTGTGGGCTACTATCAGAATCTTTTACTATGATTTCATAGACTTTGGTGTGTTTGTCTTTAGTTACACATATATTTTTCTATAAATCCAAAGAATTCCTCCTAATATTGAAATGTATGGAATTGGGATGGAGGGCAGATTGGCAAGGGCATAGGAAAAGGGCAATTGTCAGCTGCATAAGTGCTTTTGCATTTACAGAAATGCCTTGCAATGACCTTGTGAAAAAGCAAGCATTTTCAAAATAGAAACATAATTCTTTGTTACCAAACGTTACAATAAAGCGACATGCCATATAATGGAAATATGTCTAATAAACTTGCCTATGTATTTGGTTAATTGGTTGAATAAATCGACAGCCACAAATAGAATAGACATAATCTTCACATTCTATAACAAAGTTTAAAGTACTGAACTTGCATAGTATGGCGAAGGAAGAGAAAGGGTAAGAAAATTGGGTAGAGTTTCAGTCCAAGCACACATATGCAAGCAAGACATTAAAAATATCAGCATTTACACTGAAAAAAACTATTGAAGATAAACTGTTAGTATGTGCAAAAATCCAAAATAGGGTTAAGGTGAAACACATACAAGAGAAAAAAAACAGTAAGAAAAAAAAATGCAAAAATAATGTATAAAATTTATTTTTATATAGATAAAAAAGGGGAAAAGTTGAACAGATAATCAGTTGCAAGTTTCTGGCGTCAGTCTAATTCAACAGCAAATTCTAACAAGAGTAAAAATAATGTTTATGCAAAACATGACAACAGAATGAGCTAAATAAAAAATCCACTGTTATTTATTATGCTTTTGTAATCTATTTCTGACGTGCATTCTACGAAAAATGCCTAACAGGTTGGACATGTTGTACTGCAGTTTTATGTTTAGGGGAAACGAGGAAAGGTTTTGTGCAAGCAAGTGGAGAGAGAATGATAAATGTAATATGACATCTACAGCAAGCCAGTGCCAGGCACTAACCGGACTTGGGAATTTACAAAATGTTATAAGACAAAATGCTTTTCTCTGAAAAATAGCAGAAAATTTAGACAAACAAGATTTGTGTGTGGTGTGCATCCAAAGCAGAAGCCATTGCATAAATGTTAAGCGTTAGAGAATCCAATTAGCTGTTAGATTATTTCCAACCACAAACAAAGTTTAATGACATTTTCCGACTAACCACTTTTTCCCTTTGAAAATCCCTAGGAATTCCTGACAATTGTTACTTCAGTAAATAACCCTATACAGTTGCAATCAAAATTATTCAACACCCATTGAAAATCAGGTTCACTGTGAAAATTTACAGACTTTCAGCTGTTTGCAATGAGCAAATCAAACAAAAACATTTGAAATCGCTCAACACAACGAATGATTCAGTGTGTTATAATTGTGACATATTCTACACTTGTGCTGAGAAAGCCAAGGATGATAAATGACCCAATTGTCGTTTGCAGCCAACGACCTACAGACACAGCTGCAAACGTTTCTTCTTCAAGGCAATCATAGTCAATGCAATCTTCCATATCATATGTCCTTACAAAAATGGGAAAAAAAGTATTCAAGGACTTTTTAATAATTGGGTGGATCAGATCCACATATTTTTTAGTAACATTGTCTGTTAGTAACTTACAGTCTAGCAATGGCCACTTGAGATGTGGATCTACAATACAATATGGGAGTTTACCTAAGTGTATTCTATATGAAATCTCCTCTTAAGTACTTCTAATAGAGATATCAAAGGTAGATAACTAGTCCATAGTTACTACAATATTTTGCATAAATCTCATGCAAAGGATCCCTGTCACTCAAAACAAAACAAAAAAACATATATTCTAATTTTACCCTTGTTAGTATCAGACAGACGTTTCTAGAGGTCAGATAATTAGTTGCACTGTATGATTATTGTGTAGTTTCTCTTTAACTATGTGTTATATGTTATGTTTGGTTTGCTTTTCATAAGTATATGGAATTTTATAAATATGTGATTTTATTATCTTTGAGAATATTTAATCTTTGTTCATACTCATTTTGATTATTGCTATATAATTACAGGTGATACTCGAAAAATTTGAATATTGTGCAAAAGTTCATTTATTTCAGTAATGCAACGTAAAAGGGGAAACTAATATATGAGATTGACGCATTACATGCAAAGTAAGATAGTTCAAGCCGTGATTTGTCATAAGTGTGATGATTATGGCTTACAGCTCATGAAAACCCCAAATCCACAATCTCAGTAAATTAGAATATTATATGCAATCAATAAAACAAGGAGTGTACATAGAACAATATCAGACCTCTGAAAAGTATAAGCATGCATATGGACTCAGTACTTGGTTTGGGACCCTTTTGCAGCAATTACTACCTCAATGCGGCGTGGCATGGAAGCTAAAGGCCTGTGGCACTGCTGAGGTGTTATGGAAGACCAGGATGCTTCAATAGTGGCCTTCAGCTCTTCTGCATTGTTCGGTCTCATGTCTATCATCTTTCTATTGGCAATGCCCCAAAGATTCCCTATGGGGTTCAGGTCAGGCGAGTTTGCTGGCCAATCAAGCACAGTAATCCCACAGTCATTGAACCAGGCTTTGGTGCTTTTGGCAGTGTGGGCAGGTGGAAAATGAAGTCAGCATCCCCATAAAGCTAGTCTGCGGAAGGAAGCATGAAGTGCTCCAAAATCACATGGTAGATGGCTGCATTGACCCTAGACTTAATAAAGCACAGTAGACCAACACCAGCAGCTGACATGGCTCCCCAAATCAACACAGACTGTGGAAACTTCACACTGGACTTCAAGCATCTTGCAGTGTGTGCCTCTCCATTCTTCCTCCAGACTCTGGGTCCTTGGTTTCCAAATGAGATGCAAAGGTTGCTCTCATCAGAAAAGAGGACTTTGGACCACTGAGCAACAGACCCGGTCTGTTTTTCTTTAGCTCAGGTAAGACGCTTCTGACGTTGTTTGTAGTTCAGGAGCGGCTTGACAAGAGGAATACGACATCTGAAACCCATGTCCAGGATATGTCTGTGTGTGGTGGCCCTAGATGCACTGACTCCAGCCTTGAACTATCTTGTTTGCATGTAATGCGTCTATATATTAGTTTCCCCTTTTACGTTGCATTGCTGAAATAAATGAACTTTTGCACAATATTTGAATTTTTCGAGTATCACCTGTATATACACTGTGTACTGTATAGTCAATTGACTTCCTTTTGATGCAATTTGTGCTTTTCAGTTTAGCAGAGTCTTACAGGGATATTCCGTAAAGTGGGAATTGTTGGGTATTCAGTGAATTTCAAATTTCAGGTCAAAATAGACTAACTTGAAAAATTCTCAACTACACTTCCAGTTCAGCTACTTTGGCCTTAAACTTAAAACTGACTTAGAACTCCTGACCAGTCTCACTTTAGTAAATAACTGTGCTAAATGGGATGACAGTGACATTTTCCGAGCATGACACAAGGTTACGAATAATCTACTTTATCATTTGTATAATTAATGTGACAAAAGACTTACATTTACCAATTTGGCAGCTCCAATGTGGCTGATAAAGAGTGATTACTCTTACCCAACTCAATAACAATAATGTTAGCAATTTTACAAGTATGTTGGACTTGTGCCTTTTTAACAGGCAACCAGATGAGTCTTTTTTCATCCTTTTGAATTTGTGTTGGTGGTCACTATAGCTGGTACTTTAAACAATTAAACTTTAGTTTTACAGTAAAACATCAGTATTGGAGTTAATCCAAAATTCTGTTAGTCCAATAAAAAAGGTATTACAACATACAAATTTAATTTGTTATTTTACGTGAATAATATGCAGATTAAAATATTTTTTTACGATCTTGCTCACCTGTAAAATCTGCTTACAAGGACTTCATCAGTGAAGCCCATTCCTCCCCAGTACTGAAGGCAACTGTCGCTAAGCTCTCTTACAAGACGACCAACTTTTAATTTGGCCATAGAAGCAAGTTTGGTGACATCATTACCTTCAACATACAAACCTATAGAAAAAGGTACAGATCTTAACAAACAAAAAAAATATATATATAATACATCCTTCTAAAGTTCTAGTATAAAAGCAGAGGAGTTCTCCTTTGGTATTTCTTTTGCATTA